TGTGTGTGCGGCACACACACTCTCTCGCCAGCAGGTGACTGCCGGTGTGAGTCGGGTCTGTCCGTACCACTCTGTAGTACCCGCCGATGGCAGGTTTATAACTACACGTGTCGTAGGCAGCGGGTTTAAGTGCGCGAAGCGCAAAACATGAAAATGCTTGTAAGCGTAGAGACTGCTCAGCAAAGAGGCCCTGGGTAGGCGGTGTGGCCTGTGCCTCTGGTAGTGGTTCTCGCAAGCCTGACCTGGCACAAGTGAATGTGGCGTGGCCAGCCAGAAGGCTGCAGCCCTTAGGGAAAGCGGGAGGGGCGCCGCTCGGGGGAGGGCCCGGCGGCGCGGGTGCGGTGTGGGTGCGGCGGGCGCACCCTGCGGGAGCGGCCGCCTCCGGTGGGAGGGAGCGACCACCCGCCTTTGCGCGAGGGCTTTGTGTCGTGAACGGAACAGATGGATAATCTGTGTTTTGGCCGAGATTGAATATGAGAGAGTTGGGGCTTGCTGGGAGGAGAGAGTAATATTTTTGAGAGGTTTGTGAGATGAATTCTGAAGGGAGAGGTACTTAAAGCTCTCGGAGGATTATAAAACCGGCGAAAATTAGCCTGAGCTCAAATATTTGTAAGTAGATAAAACTATTCTGTTGGGTGCCGTAACTTGTTTTGCATTCTTGTCTACTTCTAGAGTTAATGTTAAGAATTATTGTAAGTGCTGAACAGATCTTGTACTTTGGACGGCGATAAATGGCAGCAAGTATGTGACAAGTTCGAATAGCCAGTCGAGACCATAGGAAATAGAAAAACTAAAACTAACGGAAAGTCTATGCTGTTCTCTAGCACCACTAGTTCAATTTGGAATTCATTAAATGGAAAATTCATTGAATAGTATATGCACTACTGTTGATCAGTTGCCATGACGGACATTCTGAAAAAACATTGGAAGATGTCCCTGATGTCCCAGAACAGAATACTGCAAATTAGCAATTTTGCAACAATAGATGATTTTATAAACAATTCCCAAATCCATAATTTTATGTCGGCTATGTCCCCAAATTGTATTTGAGATGAATAATCCCAAATTAAATATTTCAAGAAACGCAAAATTATTGCTAATACCTATGTTATTTGTTGCTAATATCCTATAAATTTGGACTTGATCTTTGAATTTTGCTGTATCTTTTATAAATAGTTCCCTAGAAGTCATCTATCGATTGGAAAAATACACGACTTTGCAATTTTTGCAAATTTTATGAACATATGAAATATTGCAAATTTGCGATTATAATTTTTTTCTAATCGTTAAATCTATAATATCTATAATAAACTGGATGTTTGGTAAAGGTTCTGTATTATTTATAAACAATAATATTGAAAGTAAACGTTTATGAGAATCTAAATGCTCTAAAATGAGTGTTATTTTATCTCATATATACGTAATTTCTTCAAAAAGAATTGTGTTAACAGTGGTTAAACGTGTTATATATAAGTGTTTTATACTATGTATTTTTATATGGAAATACATTTACATTGGAACTAGCGACGTCCGCTAGATTCTATGACGTAAAAAATCACGTGGTGGAAACTGGCAAAAGCTAGGTCTCTTCTTTCCCCTTTGAGATTGGCCGCGTCTGCGTGTGAGGCTCCCCCAGCAAAGTTTCATGACAAAGGTTGCCCAAGCCTCGGAAAATCTGAACGGAACTGGAGATGGCGCGGTTAATTTATGTTGTCCAGAGCTGCAACAGAAAGAAGACTTTTTGTGCTCGACTCCGTCAGACACAAAAACAGTTTTGCAATTATTTGATTGTTTCATTCCGGTAACACTTCACTAGTTAACAAAAGAGACTTACACTTTTAAGATCCCAAATTTTTGACACGATGGTTGTTTCCGGAACTTCTTTCTATGATATTTTCGAAATAATTGGTAAACTAAAAAAATAAATATTCGGCTGATTTACATGACTTTCCGGATTGTCTGTAAAAGACACCGTAACTCACATATTTAATGCACACTTATGCACCGGAGCTTTTCTAGATATTTTCAAAACAGCCAAGGTTAAGTCGCTTTCAAAACATGCGACTATAATTAAATTGAAAATTATCGTTCAAATATCCCTTTTGTTAGTTTTTCAAAAGATTAGAGATATTTTTTATGTACGAAAGGAAACCTTTCTCTGTAAACACGACATGTTTTCAAATTGTAAACATGGATTTCGAAAATAAAAATTTACGGAAAGAGCCGTTCTTCCCTGTGCAAAATTCTCACTCAGCGATTCCACAGCGATTCCACCATAAGGTTTACTTCAAAAGCTTCGGTGCCACGTCGTAATTTTACTTCAGATTTTCGGCCCAAAGAGAGAATTCACAAATAGCTGCCGAGTTTTGCGCGTGTCTATTGGGGAAAGAAAAATGTCAACGACGAACGCTTTTTGATCTGGGCTTATAGTTCCAGGTTTATGTGCTAAAAACTAACACATTTGTAACTAGGGATTTGCGTCGTTGCCATACCCTTTACTTAGCAATAATTCTGGCACTCATTTCAGAGCGATGTAATAGCAGCATTTTAGAGAAGTACACTGAAAAAAATGACCATCTCACTCCCAACCATAAACCTATGGATACGTGTCTTGCAGATGTGATGATCGATTGGGGACCGCTGGGTGATTGGGATATCATAGGGGAAAATCATAGGGACCGCTGGGTGATTGTCAATACTTACAAACCCGTAGACGTTGAAAAATACGTGAGCCCTATAACCACCATATTAATTCACATTGCGTTCTCAGTGGTTTCCGCTAGAGCGCATTTGTGAACGCGGAGGACATGGTATTTGAGACCTTTAGTTTGGTAAGATTCGCTAACCTTTTTTGGCTCGATACCTATTCGAGGGATCACGTGACTTCTCGTAAATCCCCCGGTATCTTTCTTAGCGTGTGTAGTGCGTGTTGTCTGGCAGGGTGCGATTTCGGTTTTCGGGAAAGTGCGCGTTACAATGGACTCGAAGTGCATAGAAGCACTTCAGAAAATGAAGCTTCCTCATCTTATCGATAAGTTTGCTGGTTAGTATAAATATATAATATTAATGTGTAATGTTTAATACGGAGTGCATACTTTTTTAGATGTTCAGTTTCCAAAACGTGTATATGTTTGAAAAATCACGTTAAGTTATTATTGAAATAGGAATAAAAACGTGCACTTTTTATATCCTTTCGTTGTTTGTATATTCCCATCCTGTTTTGCATTCACTCGTCCTTTCTTTTGTGGTTAGCATATAGTGATATTTTTCTCATTTGTATTATCCCAATACCTTTCCCTCAATTGCAAAATTAATTATGGCAACTATTTTTGATAAAATTTACGTTTCATTATGCATCTCAGCTCTAATTTCAGAATCAGTTGTTGTCATTTGTTTGTTTTAAACTGTTGTTTAATAGTTCATTTTATTTAGGAAGCTCGGATAGGTGGGTCGATGAAGGATTGGGAGTACCTATGAAAAGTGATCAGACCAAAAATGCAAAATTAAAGAAACAGTACTTCGTTCAATTATTTTACCAAAAGTTTCAAACCACCGAGTGCAAAGAGTGCACAAATCAAAAAGTAGATATTATTCCTTTGACTTCTATTAGTGTATGAAACCAGAAAAAGATTTGTGAAGCAATGTTGCAATGTTGTGATTTACATAGTTTTATGTAAAAATTAATATATAAAAATTATCATTTTAATAAGTAAAATCTTAAAAATATAGTATCAAGTGGATAACACAAAGTAATTAAAAGCATTATTTTATGACGATTGCATTGTTGCCCCAAAGTATAAACAGAATAAGTTTATACATCAAAATTTGTATTTGTTAGTTTTTTGTTTCTTGTTTTAGAAATAAGTTCAAATTCTTTTCCCATCCTGATTATATAATTGTAAACCTAATCCGGTTTGCAGAGAATAATATTGATTATGATGCACTGCTATTGCTAAAAAAATTCCCCGACACAATTTCTACCATTGTACCTACTGTTAGGGATGCATTAATATTGAGGGCAGGTCTGGAAACATTAGAAGACGTCAGTGAAGTTTTTTTTCATAACTGGTCTATTAATGGGGCTGCAATTAATTCATTCATTTATTGAATTTATATATATATATATATTCTTGTAGATTTTTCAAACTAATTTCTACTTTTATTTTATGTAGGAAATTTAACTCACCCATCACTGAAGCAGAATATATCATACCTGAAATTTTAACTTCTGAAACTCAATTTGTGACAGAAATTTCTTGTGCTGGCGAGCAGAGGGAGTGTCAGGATATAAATTCAGAAGGTCCTGAGATTAATCACAACAAGAAGATTAGAGTAGATAGTAATTTAAGAGAGACTCGAAGAGAAACATTTAGGTAATGAATTTTAGAGAAAAGTAGTCTGAATACAAAAGTATTACGTTCCTTTCTGTGTTCAGTATATACATGAGGTTTTGGAAAGGACTGCAATAGGGAAGTCTGTTCTCGCTCTTCATAGAAAGAGTGGGTTGCATTACAGTGCTCGCTGTAAACTTGCTGGGCTTGTTGTTTATGCTGAATATGGAGCTAATACAAATACATTGTAAGAATATTCAAAATATGAATTTATAAGTCTTAATGTTTTTTAAATTGTTTTGGTAAATTGGTTTTAGTAAATTGATTTCTAATTAAATCGGTTATTATTATTAACAACAGTTTTGAAGTAATAATAAAAAAGAAAGAAATTTTGAAAATATATATTAACAAATTCAATGAAATAGGAATTTTTTTCTTGCAGAATATCCAAACTGAGGTTTTTAGAACTGGCAAATTTGATAGTTCAGGGTTTTTCTGGTTATATTCTAGTACGTTCAGTTGTTGTTGTTATTAAAGGATATGAAGGGAAATATTGTCGCTTGTGATCTACTTTCTGCAGGAGACTTATTACATCCCATCAAGTGCGAGCGGGAAAGGTCTTGCAGCTTCAGGGAATATATACGATACATATGCTAATTTTTAAAAAAATCCCTCAGGAATACATAATTAAAAAAATGTCTTAGTTTTGCTGCCTCTTCTTCACCCTCCATCTCTTCTTACTTTGTCATTTCAACTAGAAGCACAAGATGGGAGAAAAAATTGTTACTATCTGTGATAATCATTGATCTTAGATAATGTAAAAGTGTTCGGTATCTTTTCCAGATTTTGATGTTAAAAGGAAACTATATTTTCTTAGAACTCATTTAGAGCCACGGGAAGAGCTCAAAGCTTGCTGGGAAAGCATCAATTTAATTAGGCAGAGGCAATTGCGTGAGGACAGTGGGACAGAAAGTAAGGTTGCAGAGTATATCTACAGATATCCGATTTTAAAGCAACTGGGAAGGCACTTTTTGGTATATATTCATCTATAAAAAGATTTATGTGAGAAGTGCCGTAATGATGCTGTATACGAATTAGTTTGGACTATTGCTTGAAATAAATTTTGCAGTGCAATTTAAGGAGGCTCAACGAAACTGGTCCAGAACGTGGCCTGTGTTTTCTGAGAAGCTAAAAGCGGAATTGGTTAGGAATGGTGTTAAAGAAGACAGTCTAGGTAAGTCGTTAACTTGGGCAGATGTAAGCTTTTGAACTTCAAATGAAGAATAGCAATGCCAACATTTTTTCAGATTGTGAAACTGCTCTAATCTATGAGACACCAAAGCTGTTTCCGATTTTTCATGTTAAGATTTTAGGCAGGAAAGTACTTCGTGCCACTAGGGCAGACATTCAGGAAGGGTTTCTTGTTTATTTGAAGATAATTAGCAGAAGTATGCCACTTTATTTTGTAGTGTACTACCAAATTTAGCTTACTAAATCACTTATTTCAGGTTGTTGGTTTAACTACAGAAGACTTTAGAAGGGATGCATAAATCTGCACAGCACAGTGGAACACAACTACAACCTTTTCCTCTAACTATGAGAGATTCCATTAAACATATATCATCTATTTATGTCATTATTGATGATAGACCTATATGAGTGGAGTCTCCTTCAAGAGCAATTGAGGTTGTCTTTAAAATGTACCATTCACTTAACTGACACTTCCCAGTTCAGAGTGCGCGTATATGGATCCTACTTGCCAAAACTGTGTTTATCATAGAAGAAGAGAGAGAGAAAGGCATGATAACCCCAGAATTAAGTAGACTCATCTAAGTTTTGCGGTGTTAATACAGAAAAACTGTTTCAACACATTTTTTATTAGTTTACTTAAAAAAATATATATAGTGTGGCGTCGTTAACACAAGGGCCAGAACCGTTAGGTCGGTGAAAGTACGCTGCGGGGGAGGAAGGGGTTGAGCCTGAACATCCGGGAGTTTGCGCTCGGGCGGTTGACTCAGGTAGTGCCGCAGAGCCAAAAATACCGGAGGCTGTAAACTCCGAGGATGCTGCCGGCGAGCCTCGTTTACGGAAGCAGGCAGCCAACCTGAGAATTCTGTGTGTGGGCGTAAACCAAGGCTGGCCTGCGAGTCTATCTATGGAACAGTGGTGGGGGTGTCAGCCTCAACTATTTAACGCGGCGCCATCTGCGCCCGCGTTCTCATTCAGTTTGCATCGGGAAGCTTGTACGTGTGTACAAGGGGTGTAGGAGTGTGGGCGAGATGTCCAGAGAGTAAGGGCCAGACAATCTCACGTGCTGTAGGCACACGGTCGCCACGACCGGGTTAAATTTTGGCGTCAGGCCATGTGACGGTAATTGTCACGGGACCGAGGTCCGATAGCGCGCATCACGCGTGGCTTGTGTTTTCTGCGGTAAAGCAGTGTTCTGAAAGGAAAAGGTTGCCGGAGTGTTTTAATATTAGCAATTCATTGTAACTTGTACATAATCTTTAATATATTATTTTTCTTTTGTTATTGAAATTTATTTCTTATTTCACTACGTCACAATAGTTAAGTTCTACATCAAATGTTCATAATGTGTTTGATTGAAACTAAACTTTTTAAAATCCTTTTATACGTGTTCAAAAGAAGTACATTTGTTCAGTGATTATACAAAATTATAATTCACACATTTGATTAATTTTAAATTATATTTTATTCATATATGCTTTATGTATTAAATTTAATGTGTATGAAAAATTGTAACTGCAATAGTAAAATGATGGAACACAATACTAATTTAGATTCTGGTTGTCACATATAATATTGTTTTCTTCCGCAATCCTATTTAATTTTTGAAGTATTGGATAATTAATAGTGTTATGAAGTTCGATTCTGCGGTGTCATGCTGTTTTATTCAATTGAAACAAAGTGTCTGTTTTAAGTTTCATATGAGTAAAATAGCACAAGAGGCAGAATTTGGAACTCTGGAACACTATTAATTGATTAATTGCATGGTTGTCCAAAATTAATTAGGGACTGCAATAGTATACAATATAAAGTAATGGAAATATAAGGTTTTTAGGTAGACATATTACACATTTTTGGATCACTGCATTGTTATTCCCCGAGTTTAAAAAAATTGTTTATACACAACAATTGAACAAAAAATTTGTTATTTTCCAAAATCTGATGGTAAAATTGTAAACTTCTTTCTGTTTGCAGGAATGGTATGGATTTTGAAGCTCTTTAATTCTAAAATAATATTCTGACACAATTTCCACTGTTAGGGATGGTTTAATGCGAAGGAAAAACGTGGAATCATTGAATGAGGTCTGGGAAAGAATGACTTGGGACTGTAATTGGGTTCCAGTTTAAACGAATGAGATTCTTTCAAAATGAATATATTGAATGTTCTAAATATGTTTGCTTTTTATTACAGGTACTTTTTGATCTTTCAAATAATTTCTCATTTTATTTGATATAGAAAACTAAAACATCCAGCAGCTGTCTCTCAGAAGGCATTTGATACCAAATGCATCATAGCAACCAGAAATTTCAATTTAGATAGACATTTTTAATACTACTGAGCACAGAGTGTCAGGAGATAACGACCTGAGATTTCTTGGAATCAAAGGATTAGGGTAAAAATTGAAAAGAGATTGGAAGAAAATAATCTACCCGCAGGAAAGAATGTAGGGAGTGAATTTTAGATATGGTAATATGAAATCCAAAAAAAAATATCTTTTTTTCTCTTTCCGGTACATACCAGTACGTTTTGAAGAGCACTGTTATAGGGAACACTTATAGGTGTGTAGGGATTCCTACCTTATCCATTTGAAAGTGGTAAGCAAAATTATGTATCTGCGTTTTGTGATGTGTTTCCAAAATTAGCATAATAAATGTTAACTGTTTTCTGATTATGGTGACTTGAAGAAGATTGGAAGAACAGTTTAAAGTGCATATATTGCTAATAAAATTAACTATTATCAAGAAGTTTTGTGGATTTGCATCAAGATTGAAATAAATATTTTTTGGGGTTGATTATTGTACCTGCAATCATGCATATTTGCCCATAATGTAGGAATATCTTTAATGGTATAAATAGTTTGTACATGCAACTGACAATTGGCCATAGTATTGATAAAAACAGTACTTTTAGATGCTTGTTTCCATGTTTCTTTTTCGTGGCCTTTGTACCGGAAACATTTATCATTGAGGCATTCACCGACTCTAACTTCTGAAAGTCTTGCAGATGAGAGAAGGAAACCTGTTGACCCATATCCGTGCCCTAATACTGATTGAAATCCAAATGCTCTTATGGAAGATGCAGAAGATCTTTCTCAAAAAACCGATCCTAAAGATTCTCCATCAATGCATGATGAATTTTGAAATTACCTGTTACTTGTGGCTTTTCAACTATATAATATTCAAATAATCAATTTCCTTGCAGTTTTGTCCAAGAATTAATGGCTGACGTGACTGATATAATGACCTCTATAATCTGTCACTTGAAGCAGTCAATTTCTCCAATTCTTCCAGTCAGCAGTCAATTTCTCCAATTCCATCCCTTAACTGATGCTATATTGTTTTGTAACATTTCTTCTTTAAAAATGCTTATATGTTTTCCTATGGAACTATCCTTGGACAAAAAATCTTATTTGACTGGATTATGAGTCCTTCCAGTAATAATTTCATGCTCAATAAAATAACATTAATAATATACGTAAATATAATGGATTTTAATTTGATCTCTTTATCATATTTCATGTTCTAAAAGAGTAAGCACTTCATGAAATATTTTTATCAAGGAGACTATGGGCTTCTTTCAAAATGTTTATGTGCACACATGAATGGTTTTTACACTGTGAGAAAATTTGCAGTATTCTTGGATGCAAAACTGCTGGTATCTTACTTTTCAGGATCTCTTTGAACTGAGATTACCTAATTAAGTTTGGCTTCATTATAATTTTTTTGTGTATCCAATGGCACTTATGAGCTATGATTTGTTGCTTTGAAATGTTTATTATGAAAATGTATAAATAGATAATGTACCTGATTATTTCAAATATAATATAGCATTTACTTCTTTATATCTATTGAGTGTTTTTCCTCACATCAATTTCCCAAATTGATCTATTGTAATTGATATCATATTTGTTCATATTACTGTTTGTGGTTTTCATGGTAGCAAAACCATTATCATATTAAAGTAATCGCGTTTCTGTGTATTAATTTTTTCAGACCATTTTGTCTCTTGAATCAATTGCAACTTATGGCATACAGCTATCAATATGTGAAGGTTACAACTAATAAATTAGTTTCATGAAATGTACAAGTTTTTAACCTTCACATTTTAATGGTTGTGTGTCACAAGTTGCAAATGACTTGGTGAAACAAGGGACCAAAGAAATGGGTTTTAACCAATCTGTTATTAATTCAATGGGTGTCTTACGCAAGAACGTGTGAAATATTTATGAATTTTGCCGGTTAGTTCTTTTAGTGAGAGTTTTTTAGTTTTTATTGATGGTACATCATTTAGCATGTGTAAAGTTCTGCGCTTCTTTATTAACAATTGCATAGAGTTATTCATTTTGGAGCTAATTAATATAAAGAGATAGTAACAATGTGGTGTTAGTAATTTTTGGGTTCGACGGTAAAATGTAGTTTTAATAATTTTTCCATCACTTTCTTACATATATTTTCTTTTTGTAGATATTTTAAAATATTTTCAAACAATTACGTTTTATAATAACTGCAAAATTGAGTAATTAAATAGTAGTTAATTTATTTAGTCTTGTTAAATTTTTCTGCTATTTTCTGTTGTGTTTGGTTTTGTGGCTAGCTAGCTTCAGGTTAAAGCTAGCTGACTCTTAATTTTTTTTCAAAAGGCTGGCGTAATTGGTCTAAAATTATGATAATTAATGAGTAATTAATTAGTGTTAAACGATGGCATGTATTTTTTTGTGGTCACCTATAGGTGGTTAGCCAGCTTCTGAGAGGTCACCTACGGCGCCACAATGCCGACGTCAACCATAAAAATAGCTGAGCCAAATTTTACTATTGATTCTGGTAAGGGGAACCATATTTTAGTTTGTGACAACCATTTCTTTTTTTTCAGTGGAGCTACAGAAAAAGATGTTGACAAAGCTAAATTGCTTGTCTAGGAGATTCCTTATCAAAAACACACAGGACAAATAAAAAACTAATAAATAAGAAGTTGCATAAAAATGGAAAAATTCAGTAAAGTGTAAAAATCTGTTGTATTGAGTAAAATATGAAAATACATGTATTTTCGGATAAAATATGTACTAAAAAGTCAACGTGTTTTCGCACTAACTGATATGAAACCTGAAAATTTCGTTGATTCGACTTGACAGTAACACTAGGAAAACATGTTATTACATAATTATCCGGGCCCAAGTAATTATCTATTATGTAATGCTCATGGATATATTTTAAAAGAGAAACCTTTTCTGGAAGTGCAATTCGGGCAGCTTCCCATTCGACAACTAAATGAAATGTGTTAAAATTTTATAAACCCAATTTGCATATACATTTCGAGTTATCGCATTTCACCATTATTAGAAAACTAACATTAGATTGTATGCTATAGGCTTTTTATCGAACAGTAATATTATTGGCAATGATTTTTCAGCCTGTATTAAAAAATATTTAAGTTTAACTAAGATCTAAATATTGTTGACAAAGAAGAGATGAGAAATATGTTTTATTAAAAAGTGATAATTCTAGTTGAAATACGTACGATATTTATTTCGTAAATTATCCTTCAGTATACACAGTTGTTTGGGATTAAATGCGAGTTGAAAATGTGCTTTCGTATGTTTGTGTAAATCTGATTTGTAGGTTTTGTAGAGAAACAGCCCTTTAAGCATATTTAGATATCATTCTTATAGCATGAACATGAACATTGTAATATGAATTCGAAAATTTAATCATGCCCTTAATGACATCAACGTTCCATTTTGCAAATATTAAACATCCCTGTATTCACTGCGTATCTTTATTTAGTTGTGCGACGAAAATTAAGGTTTGTCATGCATCATCACAAGTTCAATGAATTCAAATCATATCATTCCAACGCGCAATATCATTTTCCCCACTTTAATGAACATGAAATACTTTTATGTACTAATAACACTCGTAGCACGCGTTATGCCTGTCATAGCGAAGAGGAAGGTGATTGGATTAGCGATGTGGTAGATCCTCGACTAAGCACGCGTAGAATTAACAAAATTATATTTCATCGATTTACAATATATCCCGGTTTCCTGTGACCCACTCAACTGCACAATAACAGCTAACTAGTGACCCGCAAACTATACAACCACCATTCTTTTTTTGCCAAACACTTGATAATCCGTTCATTTGACCTCGATAATAATACAGACCCCAAAATTCCGAAATTTCAATCGCATTTATATGCCGCTACTTGCATCTTCGGCAACAGAACTGAAGCGAGACAACAGACTGGAATAATATCCAACGAGCGAATGAAGCATAAAATCGAACGCAATCGTCAACGCCGCTTACGGCAAACCCATTGTTCGGCAGGGCATCGTTAGCACGCAAATTCGTTCGCTGCGCTATTAATCCCGCAATTTCTCTCTAGAAATCTCCCGCTGTTGATTGTGACGCAATCGAAATATTCGCGGGACGCTACGCGCGGTAGGCGTTAATGTCAAAAGAATCAGCCCGATTGCGGCGCAGTTGGTAGGCCTGTGGAGCTGTAATTTTAATTCTACGGTCGCAGGGGAAAAAATCGAAAATTACGCAACGGACGCATCGGTGGAGCGCAAGCGGAAGTCTTGTAATTTGCATGCCACATTGTCTCTTGCAACCCACCGGCTCTTATATTCTTCAGATACTACAGAATCCAACAACTAGCTCGCTGGCAGTGGAGTTTTTATCCCTTTTTTGATACCAAAGAAATACATTGGATTCTTCACAGCTGTAACGTTTTCTATTCTTTCTTCATATTCCACTTTGTATGTTTTCACCCATACAAATACAATCTTTATTAACATTACGACTGAAAGTCGAATAGTATGAGGTACTCCCCCGAATTTTGCCGTTTCTTATTAGTGCCGTTTAAACTCGCAGCTGTCCATAGCTGGAAATACACGACAAAAATGGACGTGGAGATAATATTGAGTGATAAATAGAGATAATATTAGGTCACTTGAAAAAAGGCCTATTGACTCTCAACACCATTCGCATTCTAGAGAATTT